TCCAATGTTTCCCAAGCCTAGAATGCCCACAGATAGATCACAAATCAATCTGTGGTTAGAAATCTCTCCGTCTCTTTCCCATTGACTATTCTTCTGATTCTCGTATTGCTGTTTCTGATTACGTTCAAAGTTAAAAATATGAGCCACAACGTATTCAGCCATAGCAAAGCCGAAAGTGTTATCAGAGAAACGTGTAACAACATAGTTAACATTCTTATCATTTAAGTTTGGAATTAAGCCTTCAACACCAGCCCATGTAGTTTGGACCCATTTCAAAGATTGCAATTTGTCCAGATATGGTAAGAACAAGTCACAATCGGTGACTATTATATCCGCGTCTTTTAATTTCGATAACGTATCACTTTTATCTTCAACATGAAAAAGAACGAAGAATATATAACATGAAATATAACAATAGAAAGAAAACGATGGCACACTGCAAAAGTGTGGTAACCGAGAGGAAAAATAAAGAGTCGCGTCGTTAAAATTGTTCATTATGAAAACCTTTTAAAATTAGTCTATGAATCATTCGAGGAAGGCCCGTTTGAAATATGCGCCAAATATTTGAAAGGGGTGGGTTTTCCGCCAAGTTGTGCACGCGAAATGCGCAAATTCAGTGTATAAGAGATCGTAGTGTTAGTGCGTTTCAACACGTGCTCGCTGCGAAAGCTCTCGTGAGCCGATGGAATTCGTGTTCCACGGGTATGAGAGAAAGTGCATGTCAAAAATAATACCTGGCGCAACGTCAAATATCGTTAAGTTTGGAAGTTGCATTCGAAGATGGTAAGATAACCTAGGTATCGCGGATAGAATTGCAATGATATGCACCATGTCGACACGCGGGAATATGATCTAGCCTATACGAAATATTATTACAGTCAAATACAATATCCAGCAATTGTTTCGTTCTCACTTATTTGAAATCTGTGCTAGTTAATAATCCCGAATTGCACCGTGTTATCTTCGACACGTTCCACTGATACGTCTAACCTAAATTTTTGGTTGAATGCAAGGGTTCGAATGCTTTCATCTCAATAACAGTCTAATTTACAATTGATTATTCGATTTATTGTTTGTATCTCTCCTACAGTGATTTATGTATTCGTAATTTAGTTACATCGTATTACTTTCGTTTAAAGAATATTGTTTAATACATAAAAACAGTGATCAGGAGAACTTAAACGGCAACTTGTAATGCTAATAATTACTTGAAAATTTGTTTCCTTGTTTAAATGCTCGTTTGATGGACTTTATATCGTAAAGTGTCAAATGGTTAAGATGGATGAAATAACGCATTACGATTATATTTAAAGATCAGTTTATTCAAAGTTTTTGTTCGTGTAAGCAGATTGAAAATTTAAAGTGTCCGCATGATTGTGACGCGTGCGCAAACTACGAGTACTATAAAATACGAACGCAAACATATATTTCGCGGTCGTAATATATTGTTGATTACTTTTACCAACAATTAGCTTTCTTTTTAATGTTATTATTCCTATTAAACGCTAAATGAAACGAGGATAAACGTCGATCGTGATCATC